CAAAACCTCTTTGAAAATAACTCTTTGATGCCTACTTCTTTGTTTAACATAGAGACAACAGGAAAAGGCATGGAATAAAACTTCAATTTTCCTAGTAGACTTTCCAGGTAGTTAGCCTTCCTAGGTTCAAATTACAGAGCTGGAAAGGCAGATTGGTCAAGGAACTTTCTGGAGAATGTGAACAGCAAAGCCAGGGTCATGTAAGGAAAAAAAAACCTTCGTTTGGTTTTGTGGTAAGTCCTGTTGATGGTGTATAAGTTAAGCAAATCTCTGAGGGGCTGCATTTTGGCATTGTGAGTAAAGCCACCTGGGCACTAGTTCAAGTTCTGGCTGCTCCATTTCAGATCTAGCTCCCTAACAATGTGCCTGAGGAAGCAGTGGAAGGTGGCCCAAGTACTTGGGCCCCTGCACTCACATGGGAGACCTGAAAGACACTCCAGACTTTGGATCTGCCCAGTTCCAGTCATTATGGACATTTGGGAGATGAACTAATTGATAGAAAATCTCTTTCTCCCCCTCTCTTCTCTCTCTCTAAACTCTGCTTAAAAAAAAAAATTAAACAAAAAGGAACCATGGGACCATGAAAATATTTTAGAGTTCAAAAGTAAGAAAAACCGGGCCCAGCGGCGTGGCCTAGCCACTAAAGTCCTCACCTTGAGCGCGCCATAATCCCGGCAGCTCCACTTCCCATCCAGCTCCCTGCTTGTGGCCTGGGAAAGCAGTCGAGGATGGCCCAAAGCCTTGGGACCCTGCACCTGTGTGGGATACCCAGAAGAAGTCCCTGGATCCTGGCTTCGGATTGGCATAGCATTGGCTGTTGTGCTCACTTGAGGAGTGAATCATTGGACGGAAGATCTTCCTCTCTGTCTCTCCTCCTCTCTGTATATCTGACTTTCCAATAAATAAATAAATCTTTAAAAAAAAAAGTAAGAAAAACCGTTCACAAATGGGGTGAACTAAATTTTTCTATAAAGGGCCAGATAATAAGCAATCTTAGATTTTGGACTCCATGAAACTTCTGCTGTTACTTTGTCCTGCATTATAGCAAAACAAGCATCTGCTGTAGCCTTTATAGTGCAAAAGCAACCAAAGACATTGTCTAAATGATGTGTTTGCCTGTATTACCATAAATCTTTATTACAAAGCCAGGCAACTCTAGTTTGCGCACCCCAACAGAGAGCAATCAGAGGAACGGCTGCCTCTGAAATAAACTCACCACAAAGGCATGAGAAAAGTTTTTTTTTTTTTTAATTTGATTCTTTTTCTCCATAAAATCCAAGAGTAAGTTGCATGTATCAGGTCAGAGTAGGCATTCCTAAAAAATGAAACCATTTTAGGCCATACAGAATTGGATTTAAAAATATATCAAACTTGGGGGAGGAGAGGGGGAAATTCCAGTACCTAAAAAGCTGTATCACATAATGCAACGTAATAAATTGGAAAAAAAAAAAAATCAAACTTAAAATTCCATTAAAGGCAGTCTACTACAAAACTTGAAACAGAATTAGTAAAATAAAGGCAGATTTTGAGGATTAACCAAATTGATGAGATAAAGGAAAATAAAATGAGAATAAGAAATAGATGTTATAGGAATTCCTAAAAAGGAAACTAATACATGGAATAGAGGAAATAAAGTGAAAACAAAAATCTTTCTGAGCTGCTTTTTAAAAAGTTGTGTGCATTTGAAAGGTGGAGCAACAGAGCAACGGGGAGCACAGAGAGATCTTCCATCTGCCGGTTCATCCCCTATACAGCCCTAAAGGCCAGGACTGGGCCAGGCTGAGCCCTGCACCATACACTCCTCAGGATCACCTGCAGAGGCTGCAGGAGCCCCAGCACTTAGGCTGTCTTCCACTGCCTTTCAGGACATTAGTGAGAAGCTGAACTGGAGTGAAGCAGTGGAGACTCATGCTAGACATGGGTTAGCAGCATCACACACCCACCACAAGGCCAGCCCCTAAGCCGGTAATATAGTGTAAGTGAGGCGTAACACACATCAACTAAAACAAGGAACCTATGTCTAGATGAGACTGGGAACAAAGCAGTGAATTCTACTCACTCTATTTTTATAAAATGAGAACTGATTTTCTACTTTTATACATTTCCATAAGAAACCCGTTTTAAAATTATTATGGGTTTTTCACAATTATGAACTGTATTAACATGTAAACTATTTTAAAATGTCAATAAAGCAGAAGGAATCTAGCTTATAATTCCATAACTCAGACATTACTAGAATTGTTTTACTACTTATCCTTGCAGTACTTCTTTCTGTACACTTGTTTATATCTATAAAATTCAGATCACTTCATTGTACTATTTTGTGTCTGATCTAATGGAAATGTTTCCCATTTATGTTCCATTTTTATTGATTAGGTCGAGTAAAAAGAAAGTGTTTGATACTGTCTTTCAGACCCTAGATCAAGCTCATTATGATTTCATAGCTAGATTTTGATGAATATGGTGAAGGAATATTTTTAATTTAATGCAAATCTTCAGTGTCATCAGTGTACAGGACAATTAGGGGATAAAAATGTGGTGCCTTCACAGACATGAGATGAACGAAATCTGCATTTAAGTTTGAAAGCAATTGAAATCAGCTCTAGCTAACATACAGAAGAAATAGAATGATATCTCGCAGCTCGCAAAAATCGATGTCCCAGTGGGGTGCCAGAAGAAAGAGACTCAGACAGTAGCAAAATGTGGAGCAAGTGCGGAGGTGTTGTGGTGCTGCCAGCACTGGGGGCAGCTGCATTCCACCTCTCATGGCCTGGTTGGAATCCTGGCTCCTCCATGGCCCCTGCTGGTGCTCCCGGGAGACAGCAAGCAATGGCCCTCATACAGGGGGCCTGTCTGCTAGGTGGGAGAGCTGGAGGGCTCCTGGCTTCTGGTTTTAGTAGAACTGGACTCACAGTCTAACTAGGATCCTACAAAGAGAGAATTGACCCTAAATAGGAAGGAAGCTATTGGGGGAGGCTGTTCATGTTTATGACAAAAAATTCCTCTGTGATCGTAACTAATCTGTGCCTTTTAATATTCTCCTTTAAATAATAAGAGCAATACCTGCTCCTACTATCTGCATTGATATGCTATGAAGACAAATGATTTAATCTCTGTTAATTGCACTGAACACCTTAGACAAAGAGAACGTTATGGACACAAGTTATTTTAGTTAGGGAAATTATAATTAGTAAATATTGTAACATATAGTGTGCTTCAGAATAAATAGTAATAACTGTTAGCAAGTCAGTGACCAGCAACTACAGATATTTTGGCATAACTAGAATTTTTCAAATGGAATTAATATTTGTTTAGCTTTAAAAAAATCTGTTTATATGCAGTCCAGTTCCAGGGTTTGGAATTGGAAAGCGGCAGGAAGCTGCATAGACCGGCCAGCTCCTTGGATCTGTTACATTAATTTCACAGTCTGTGAAGGAGTGGCTTGCCCCTTGAATGGTAATGGAAAATTAGTTTCTTTATTTCTTCATTAAAACTGTGGGAGGAAAATTAATGCCCTCTTCAGCTTTTCCAAATTAATAGAATACATCTTTATTAAAATGATGGATGTACAGGCCTACTTTCTTTTTGGTTGAGAGGTTCTGTAAGTCGTAGAGTGACTGAACTCAAAGTTGAGCTTGAGGAGTCATCTTGATAGGAAACGGAGGTCCGGGGAAGCCACTTTATTTCCTTGGATCACATAGTCTGAAGGACAGAGCAAAACTGGAAATGGGCTTCTGACCCTTAATCCAGTATTCTTCAGATTCATCAACTCATCTAAATGGGAAAAGGAAACTTCCTTTGTTATATTTAAGGGTTTTTAAAATGTTATGTATGTGGGCCTGGCGGTGTGCCCTAAGGCTGAAGTCCTCGCATTAAATGTGCCAGGATCCCATATGGGCGCCAGTTCTAATCCTGGCAGCTCCAGTTCCCATCCAGCTCCCTGCTTGTGGCCTGGGAAAGGCAGTCGAGGACAGTCCTATGCCTTGGGATCCTGCACCCACATGAGAGACCTGGAGGAAGTTTCTGACTCCTGGCTCTGGATCGACACATTACCGGTCATTGCGGTCACTTGGGGAGTGAATCATCGGGTGGAACATCTTCCTCTCTGTCTCTCCTCCCCTCTGTATATCTGACTTTGTGATAAAAACAAATAAATCTTTTTTAAAAAATGTTTTTTATTTGGGTCCAGCGAGATAGCTCAGTGACTGAATCCTTGTCTTGCATGTGCCGGCATCTCATATGGGCACCAGTTTGTATCCCAGCTGTTTCATTATTGATCCAGATTCCTGCTTGTGGTCTGGGAAAACAGTCGAGGATGGCCCAAAACCTTGGGACCCTGCACCCGTGTGAGAGACCCGGAGGAGAATCCTGGCTCTTGGCTTCTGATCAACTCGGCTCCAGCCATTGCAGTCACTTAGGGAATAAACCAAGTGCTCAAAGATTTTTCTCACGCTGTCTCTCCTTCTTTCTGTAAAATCTGCCTAAGAAAAACAAATAAATCTTTTAAAACAAAACAAACAAAAAAAGATATAGCAGATTTAGAAAAGACCAAGAGAAGAACAATTATATAATAAAAATTTTTAAAGATTTATTAATTTTTATTGGAAAATCAGATATACAGATGTGAGCTGATCTAAAGGTGGCAGCCAGGATGTTCTTTCCAGCCTCCCATATGTGTGCAGAGGCCCTGGGAGTTGGGTCATCCTGCCTTGCTTTTCCAATAAAAAATAAATAAATAAATAAATAAAATAAAATAAAATAAAATAAAATAAAATAAAAAATAAATAAATCTTTAAGAAATCATTATCTTCCCATAGTTACAAAAAGATTCTTTTGTTTCCTTCTAGTCATTGTAGGTTTAAGTTCTACATGTTAAATCTAATTTTTGAATATGTAAAGTAAAGCTTGAAATTCATTTTATTCCATACAGCAGCATATGTTTAAAAGGCTGTGTTTTCCCCAGGAATAATTTCAGCACTTGTGATGAAAATCAATTGATCATGCTCGCTTCGGCAGCACATATACTAAAACTGGAACAATACAGAGAAGATTAGCATGTCCCCTGCACAAAGATGACACAAAAATCAATTGATCTCCAACTGTAGACAACTGCCTAAATTTCTTTGTACCTAAGCAAGTGTTACCTTGTGGGAGAAAAACACCTAACAGCTGGCGGGCATCCTGGACTTGGTTAATGCCAAATTTGTGTTAACTACACCAGTGTGCCAGCATAGATGCCTATTTTGTTTAAGATATGTGGGGGACAGACACCAGCATGTCATCAGACAGGGTCTGGGGACCTACATGCAAGTGTGCATGGTCCCTGAGTAGAGAGGACCAGGCATAGGGGGTTGTGGATTGTCAGAGAAGCAGATATGGAGATGTGTGGAAGATAAGACTGCTGAGGGAAAACATGACAGGTAAGTAGTGACTTTTGGGGGACTTCCACCAACCTGGCTACTGCACTTGCAGCTAAACAAGGAGGCTGACTAGTGGTTTAGAGGAGGCAAGCCAGGGGAACTCTTGGGACAAAATCAATACACCCACCCATCTGGGAGATCTGTATCTGGGATTGTTAGTATCAGCCACCACCTCCTGGGGGGCCAGCCTGACAGGGCTCAACCATAGTACTCATAAGTGAGTGTCAGGGCAGGGAGTGGACCATGTAGGCTGGGCCATGACACTAACCAATTCATAAAAGAAATGGGCCTGGGAGCAGATTCCATGGTGGATCACGGGCTCACCCCTGTGGGACCAGCTGGTTTGCTTGAGGGCTAGGATGGTGACAGGCTGAGGTAAGGCTGATCATAAAACTTACCAACATACATGGATACTGGGATTGGGAATTAGCTGGGCTGGTCCAGACTGTAGCACCTTCAGGCACACTCAAGAATTGGGTATGGAGTGGGCTGGGCCTGAACAGCCACCAGTACACAAAGGTTAGCACCTGGCAGGGCAGACTGCCAGGTGAGGGCCTAGTACCCACTGGCACACCTAAAGTCTGGGTCTGCGAGTGGGCCTGAAAGGGAAACTTAGGGATTCCCTGATGGGCTGTCATTCCCCCGATGAGCACGTGAGTCAGAGCTGAGTGTTGGTTAGGTGAGGCGGGGGCACTTTACTTATTGGCAGATACATGGGTTAGAACTGAAGGGGGAGAACCAGGAAGGGCTAGGACAAACCATAGCACACATGTGCAAGAACCAGGATGGAGTGTGGGCCATGCTGAATTAAGCTAGACTATCACACTTATTGGTTTGCATGAAAGCCAGGGATGGGGGTAGGTTGGGCAGGGCTAGGCAGTAGTACCCACCAATGAGAGTTGGGGTTGGGGTGGGCCAAGCCAGGCCAGGCCAGGCCAGGCTGCAGCATCTGATGGCAAAGGCCTCATTGGGTGATAGGTTATGCTAGTCTGGGTCAGAGCAACCATCGGCTCAAGCAAGATCTGTGCCTGGGAGCAAACCTGGTTGAGGAGCTGAGATGTCCCTGCTGAGCTGTGGTTCCCATTGGTGAGCGCAAGATGGGGGCAGTGAACTGGCCTGGGCATGGTTGCAGCATCCCTTACTTTCGTATGGACTGGATCTGGAGTGTGCCAGACTGGGCTAGACTCCAGCACCTGCTACAAGAAACAGAGTGGATGTAGGACAGGCTGGGCTAGGTCTCTGCACCCTCTGAACCATGCAAGAGCTGGGTCTAGGGGTAGACCAGGCATGGCTGGGCTGTAGCACCCAACAGTAAAAGCCAGAATGCATGTGGGCCAATCAAGCATGCTGCTGTACCTGCTAGGACCAAGTCATGTTGGGCCAAGAACCTGCCAGTGTGCACAAGATCTCAACTAGGAGGTGGCCTAGTAGAGAAGCTTGGGGAACTCCCCTGTCAGGATGCAGTCCCTGCGCATGAGCACAAGAACCAAGACTGGGAGCAACCCAGACCAGACCAGGTTATAATACTTGCCAGCATACCTATGGGTCAAGTCTAGGGTGGGCCAGGCTGTGCCAGTTCACAGCACCCACTGGCAGGTTTAACCAGGATGGGGTGCAGGACATGCCAGGTTGGGCCACAATGCCAGCCAGCTCACATTATGGCCGGGACTGGGGGCTAGCTGGGCTGGGCTAGGCTGCAGCACCCACCGACATGAGCTGTAACTGGGGGCAGGCCAGGCCAAGCCATGTTGCAGTACCTGCTGGTGAATGCCAAGGTGAGGTGAGCCAGGCCAGTCTGGACCAAAGCTCCCACTAGCACACATAAGACCCAGGATGAGGGCCCAATCCAGGATGGGGAGTCAACCCAGCAGGGGAGCTGCAGGGGATCCCCCACTGGGCCACTGCTCCTGCTGGTGAGTGTGAGAGCTGGGATTGGGAGCAGACCAGGCTGGGCAGGGCTATAAAGCCCGTTGACCTGAAGATGAACTGAGTTAGAGGAAGAGCCAGGCTGGGCTAAGTGATTATATCCACTGGTGCATGCATGAGCCAAACCAAATGCAGGCTGGTCAGGTTTGGCTTTGCTGCAGCATCAGCTGACAAGTTCTGGGCCTGAAGACAAGTCCTATCAAGCTAGACTGCAGAACCACCTGGAAAGTGCCAGATTCAGGGCTAAAAATGGGGCCCAGTGGGGAAACTGTGGGCACCTCTCTGGTGGGCTGCAGCTCCTACCAATGAACATGAAAACCAGCGCGCAGGGTAGGCCTGGCTGGATAGGAGATGGCAACTGCCAGCATAAGTGTGGGCTGAATAGTGGGGTCAGTTGGGTTGAGCCAGACTCCAACACCGACTGATACGTACAAGAGCCAAATGGGATGTGGGATAGACTGGATCCATCTGCTGCACATACCAGCACATGCAGGAACCAGGGCAGGGGGCAGGGCTGGTGGAGGTTAATGAGGGTCACTCTAACTAAACTGTAGTTCCCTCTGGTGTATGCAAGGGCCGAGTGTGTGGTGGGCAGGGTTAGATTGCATCCATTGGTTTGCATATGAGATGGGGCTAGGGACAGAACTAACCAGGTGACTTCAACAGTCATCCTGTGTGTAGTCTGATACGGATGACAGACTAAGCCAGAACTTCACCTTGGTTGGTACACACAGGAGTCAGGTTGGGGTCGCCTCAGGTAAGATTTCTTTGGGGAATCCCCCCAACTGGGTCACTGGACTCAGAACTCCAGCCACAGTGAAGAATCACAGGATCTGTGATCTGACTGTGAAGTGCAAGGGTCAGAACTGGGCCTCCACAGTTGCTGAGGCCTGTGCAGATGCTCATGGGGTACATGACAACCAGTTAATTGAGGCCTGTTGAGGGTCTCTGTTGCTGTCCAGTACTAAAGAGAGCAAAACAAATTGGCCAGCTCTCCCAGACAAGCTTTGACAGTGAGTTGATGGGTAAATGGAGACTCAAAGGAGAACAATATCAGCCAATGGGAGGACCTTGGGAGGATTTCCTCAATCTTGGAGCAACAAAATCAACGGCATCTTAGAACTATTGAAACCACTTAACCAGTGGACTGGAACACACCCCACATCAGGGACTCTGGGATGAAATCAGGCTGGACTTCCCCCGTTCTTTGTGGTTGAGCTGCTGGCAGTGGCCCTCTCCCCTTCTTTCTCCATTTTCCCCAGGTACCAGAAGAAAAAAGGAGATTAAAGGCAATTGTCTCATTCACTTTCCCCTATTCCTGCACCCTTTCAGCCATAATTGGTGGTTCACATGGACATGCGCCCCTCTCAACTATTAAATATCATCAGAAGTAAGATGAATTTATTATTTTTTAAAAAAAGAAAGAAAACATAGCAATGATCATTGGAACCTCAGCTTCATTGATCCTTCATTACACCTCCTCTTCCATACTCAGGGATGACTAATCACTCCCCTGTTATTTCTTTTTTTTTTTTTAAGGTAGTGGAAGCAGTTTTTATTTTTAAGGATTTATCAATTTTTATTGGGAAAGCCGATACATAGACAAGGTGAAACAGAAAGATCTTCTGTCTGCTGGTTCACTCCCCAAGCGACTGCCCGAAGCCAAGATCCTGGAACTCTGTCCAAGTTTCCTACAAGGACTTAAGCCATCTTCTGCTGCTTTTCCAGGTGCATTACCAGGAAACTGGATTGGAAATGGAGCAGCAGGGATTCAATGCTGGCACTGCGGGTGGTGGGCTAATGCCTTACACTATAATGCCAGTCCTCACATGAGTCTTTAAGCCACCTGAAATATTTTTATAGATCATGTAAAGACTGAATTTTTTTCTATGTATATCAGATCCTCCTAGAAGGATTCACTGAACATTTCCTTAGCCCTTATGACCTGCAATGCCAAACACATCTGTAAATGAAGTCATCATTGTTACACATGTCTGTTGCTGGCGTCTGTGTTTGGTTCCATGGTTCAATAGTGTGATAACGCAGCATGTTACTCAGGCTTGGTAGCTCATGTGACTCCCTGGAGTCTCCCTCCATACATCCTGCCTCGGGCGTGTTTTATTCTCAGCCTTTTGCTGTTTCAAATCTGTTTTACAATTATTTTTTCAAATGTCCATAAATAATCTTGTTGGAATGTGTATCGCTATGAATAAAGTTATATTAGAAAGAACTTATTCTATCCTTGAACATGTTATTTCTCTTCATTTATTTAGGACTTCTGTGATTTCTTTCAATAAATTTTTATAATTTTTCCTATCAAGTGGACCCCTCCCCTTGGCTAGATTTCTTTCCAGAATATCTTGTATTTGGATCTAGGAGTAAATATTTACAACTAAATTACGTCAAATGGCTTTATCTAGGAACTTGAACTTCAGTTATCTATGGAGCCAGGGAAAAAAAGATAAATGTAAAACTCAGCCCAGGTGCGAGATGGCCAACAATGGAAGACCTCAGCTATTTGCAGCCTAAAGTCACCAGCTAGCCAAATGTTTCCTAGTTCTTGAAATATCATGCAGGTTGCTAGTTTCAAACACTCCAAGATGAGTCTATAGAAAAATGAAAAAGAAATACCAGGTTGTAGCCAATGAGTGAGATAGAACTTGAGAAAGCAGAAACAAATTCAACAACAACAACAACAAAAAGTGACAGGGACAAATATTGGCAGAAATGTAGAGAAACTGGAGTTGCTTGCTACTG